AACACCAATTCCACTCTCACAGATATAGTGGTATCATTGATGTGACTGCTTGATAATTCCTACACGAGGAGAAAGAAAAAACCCTAAACCTTGTATTTTGTCCAAAGCACATCAGATTAGAGAATACAGACTTAATTCCTAAACTTTTTTTTTTTTTTGGCTGGTAGGGGATACAGATACATACATACTTACATACGTGCATGCACGGATGACATTCTTTAGGTCTTTAAGAGTCTCAAAGAACCAGCTTGTCATTTGTTCCAGGTTCTCTTAACAAGGTGGGGGTGGAGGAGTGGAGACAGGGAGAGGGAGAGGAGAGAAAGAAAAATACTGGCTCTCCCTAGGGCCAGCTTTGAGGATATGGGCAGTAGTGACCAGGCTGGTGCCCACTGCCCAGAGCCCACTGCCAGCAGCTTCTTGGTGCTGGTGCAGGCACCCCACCAGGCCGGACGCCAGTAGCTCCTCCCAAGTTTCTGAGCCTTGTCCTCACTCCAGAACTGCTGTTTGCATCTGAGTGGATCCTTCCACTGAAGGAGTGGTGGGCAGCTGGAGAGAGCTTTCTCCATATCTTTGCTTTTGATGTATTGTGATGCTGGAGTTTAAAACTCCCTAGTCATCTTGGGGGGACTTAGTTCGGACAAGCTGGAACTTGTTCTACCTGTATCAGTGTTTAAGTGTCTCAATGGCTGGGCATTTTGTATAATCAATCTTTCTCCATCCCTTCTTAATCATTCACACCCCAGGCCCCGCTCTCAGGCTCTCTCTCTCTGTCTCTCTCCTCTTCCTCCTCCTCCTCCTCCTCCTCCTCCTCCTCCTCCTCCTCCTCCTCCTCTCCTCGCCCATCGTCTTTATTTGTCAACTCTGTAGACCTTGTCTTCCTGCTATCTGCACACCCAACACCACACTTTAGCCTTTCTTTAAAAGCAAGCTGCTCGTTGGTGTGTCTGCATACTTCTTTTATTATTATTATTGAATCTTTCTTTTTTCTTTCTTTCTTTTTTTTTTTTTTTTTTTTTTTTTACCCATAATGACACCAGGATCATTATATAATCCCATAACAAAGAGGCTTTTGAGGCACCAGCTTTTGTCAACTCTAGGACAGAGAATCCGTAATTGCATTATTCGCCTTCCTCCCGCCCCCCATCTTTCCCCCCTTCTTTGCTTCACAGAAGCCCAACCTCTGCATCCCTGAAATCCCCACTTTGTTGCCTCGGCTTATATTATTTGCCCAAACGTTCGCCTGGAGGACCAGCCTTGCAAAGTTGCCTTTAAAAAAGTTATTTTGTTTCGTAATTAAGTCTCGGAGCCCACCGCGATGATTATTCTGGACCCATAAGGCAGAGAACCTGCATGACGTTTTTCTCGAAGTTTAATTACCGTATGCTAATTTCCTTGCCTACTACGTGATTAATTAAAATCATATTTTCATAATCATTTGGCACTAGTATTGTTTTAGAATTATCATGATCTCCTAAATAGTGTCTGTAAATAAAGTCGCCTCTAATGGCAGCGCGGGAGGCGAGGCTGAAGACCTCTCCGTGTTTGTATCGCGGCGATTGGCAACATAACGGCCTTATTTACATTAAATACGCCACAAGGTTACAGCGCGAATCAACGTCATTTGATCGCTGATGACTCCCTTAAACGCCCGGGTTGTGACTGATTCTCCACGTCCCGCTGTCCACCGAGATTCACCCGCGAGTTTTTTTTTTCACCCCAGAAGAGAAACAGACTTTAAATAGTTTGAGGAACAGGTAAGAATTACGCGTTTTCCTCTCCCCCTTTCCGCGTCTCTCTCTCCTCTCTCTCCGTGGCAATCGCTCTTTCCCTCTCGGCTGGATAAAAAATTCTTTAGTTAAAGGCAGGAATGCAAAGTAGTGACAAGCGAAGGGGCTGATGTATGTCTCCGTAACGAGTCTGACAATCAGAATGTAGCTCTTGGAGAATAGATAGATTTTAATAAGTGTGTTTACATGAGCTCAAGGTCAGAAGCAAGCTGCGCTGTGTTAAATGGTTTCTTAGTTGCTAGACAGAGAGAAAAAATGGACGACCACACACCATTCTTTGTAGATTATTATATCAAGGGTTCAGTCTCCGGCTCATCAAAGCTAAATGCTGAAAGACCTATCTAGTTGCTGTGAATTACGCCAGGGCGACAATGGAGAGCGTTTTTAATGGTACAATGCATTTCACCTACCAGATAGGGGGAGGCCGAGCAGGGGATGGGATGTCTGCTGGGGTTGGATGATGAGTATCAATGAACGGGGCGATTCTGAAATGAGGTTGATGAAAAGCGAGCCTGCCCTGCCGGGGCTGGGCTAAGAGCAGTTGGCCGGGCTCTGGCGAGTGGGCGAGCGAGGCGCGCGAGCTGGGCGCCCGTCCCCCCTCAGCCCCGGAAAATGATCAAGTCAATCATGTGGACATGTTTCATTATTCATTGAACACAATCTTTTACAACGCTCGGTTTACGTGCCCGAGTTTGCTCCCGACGCCCGCGTTTAATGTTTTAAGGTAAGGCAAACAAAGGTGGTGGGGAGGCCGGGGTTGGGGGTGGGGGCGAGGCGGTGGAGGGGCGCGCGGGTGCCAGGTGGTGGTGGGGGCGGCCACGATCTCCGGGAGGTGGCAAAGTGAGTTTGGACTCTTGGCGTGGTTCCCCCTCTTCCCCTCCCCCTCCCCCGCCTGGCGAGGCCTGCAACCCGGTTGCTTCTCACCCCATCGCGATTAAAAAATATGGTCTAATTAAATATCCGTGGTTGTGACGTTGGCGAGAGAAGCTGTCAGCTGGGGTTAAGGGGAAAGAAGAGAGAGAGATAGAGAGGGAGGGAAAAAAAAAAAAAAAAAACAGGAGGAGGAAAACCGAGTAGAGGCGGCCACCCGGCATCGAATGGCGCTGGAGAACTTCGGCGGAGAGCGGGACCCGCGCCCTGGCCGCCGCCTCCCCACCGCAGCTGCAGTCCCAGGACCGTTACTTTGAACGGGAGTCTCCAGGACCAAGCGCACAGCGCGCCAGTGGGATCCGGCGCCCACCCGGCCCAGCCCGCGCCTCCAGCCTGCGCCACCCGCTTCAGCTCGCGGCCCGGGGAAACTTTCCGTAGGGTCGGGGGCCGGGGGAGCCGAAAGAGAAGGGAGGTTGCGCGGCGGAAACTTCTCCAGTGACTTTACGCGTTTGCTCCGGGGCTGCTGGTGGTGGTGGGGGTCCCCGCTACCCCCCCACCGCAATCGTGCGTGATGCTATCTGCCCTCCACCCAGGAGACGGAGGGTAATTGACAACCTTTTTTTTTTTTAAATCAAAGTTAGCTGATGCTTACGGGGGTGCCTAACTTGCGGGTGTAGAGGGCCGCCAAGACCTGCCATTTTGTGTTTGCATGGGCTTCCTGCGCCCCAAGAGCCGGGCGAGGCCCGGCCGAGGTGCCTGGGGGGCGAACCCGGGATCCCGGGACCATAGAGGCCCTGGCACACACGTGCGCCTCCTGCAGCATCTGCCCCAATCCTGTCCAGGTCCCGGGGGCCTGCGGGGGCCTGAGACACAGAAATAAATAAATAAGTAACAGGTTATGGAGGGAAATGAGCCGGCCAGTCCCGGGCTGGAGATGCGAGGCCAATCAGATTGAAGGAGTAGGACCGAGTATGTGTGTGTGTGTGTGTGTGTGTGTGTGTGTGTGTGTGTGTGTGTGTGTGTGTGTGTGTGTGTGTGTATGTGTGTGTGTGGGGGAGGGTGGCAGCCAGGGGAGGGGGCCACTGGGGGGAGTCCTGGGAAGAGCAAGATTTTCCGAGGGGGGGGTCATCCTCAGCCCAGCCCAATACTGGAGCAAGAACGAACGTCGCTAATAAGCCTTTCTGTTTGCTTCAAGGCATTTTTTTTAAAAAATTGAAGATGAATTAAGAAAAACAGTCGTAGGCGGGACTCGAGATGTATTTTAGGCAAAAATATAATAATATAAAAATAAAAATAAAGAAGAGGGTTTTCTTTGATGAGTAGAAGTGTCCAGATCTCGATGCTCCCATCTGTTGCAATCTTGCAAACAATTACAATATAGATTATCTCCGCATACATGGAGGTATGAGAAGTGAGGGAAGGTGGAAATAGGCGCTGGGGAAGTTAGAGAAAGGAAAGAAGGAGGGGGGGACCTTGTCCCCCTCCTCCCTTTAACTCTTCGGAGGAAATTCTTGCAAGGTTTCTCTGAGGACAGGTGGAAAGTTAAGTGCCCCCCCTCCCCATTTTTCACTCCTGATTTGTGAGTCCTTCCTGCTGTCCGCCTCTTGGCGAGCGCGCACTCAAGTCCCCGAGTTCTCTCCTGGAAGGCTGGGGTCGGTGCGGGCAGGAGCCTCGGGCTGGGAGGAGCAGGGCGGGGTCCCGGCCTGGCGCGCGGGTGGCAGCGGTGGCCGGGTTTTGTTTGCAGGATATTGTTTTGTCTATCGGGTGCCTCGCAGGAGACGTGATTCGTCAGCCGCCTTAGTTTTCACTTGAGCGGAAAATAACGGCGGCTACGTGCAGTCCGGGCCTGCCCGGCTCGAGCGCGCTGTGCGTGTGCAGCCTCGGAGGTGCGCGCCGGTGGGCGGCAGGGGGACATTCTTTAGGGGTAGCGGGCCAAGCGGGGTGAGTGCGCTCCGAGCTGGCCTCGGGTTCCTTCTGCGCTTCTCGGGGCAGCCACCGCCACCGCTCTGCAGTTTAGCAGAAATCCGACAGGGGCCGCGTTTGCTGAGCGCATCCGGCCGGCGGCAGTCGGAGCGGGGCCGCGGGGCCAGGCCGCTCCGTGTAGACGTCGGGAGGGGGCCGGAGGGTGGTGGTGGGGGAGCAGACTGGGAGGGGCTCGGGTAGCGGTCTTGGCCAGAGCGAGCACCGCTCCCTGTCCCTGCTGTACCCTCGTGTCGTCCGCGAGTTGGGCAGCCAGGCGCTCCCGGGCCGTGGTCCTCCCGCCTCCCCCCCCCCCCCCGCCCCCAGGTCTCCAGGCTGGGTTTAGGTGAACTTGAGGTGGGGTGTGCGTGCGCATATGTGTGCGTGCGTGTGTATGTGTGTGGAAAGGGAAGCTTGAGTGGAGACACTCTGTTTTCTTTCCCTGTTTTTAACAACTGGATTTTGACTTTGAAACCAGCTTCGCTCGCTCACTGCTTGGGCTGGGAGGGGAGCGATCTTTCCCCATCACTCACATCTTTGTTCATTGTTCACTGAGTGCAAGGCAGGCGACTTAGAGCAAAAAGGAGGGAGAGAGAGAAAGGCAGAAGAGGGGAAGAAAGAAGAGAGAAAGAAGAGGGACGGGCGGGGGGGGCACACCCATGTCCTCTCCCAGGTCGTGTTGGTGGGTGAAATAGTAAACCCATGTATGGAGGGTCACCAGGGAAGTGGACATTACCGCTTTAATTAACTTCGAGATGCTCCGGCGGCGGGACTTGGCGTAGCCGTGACGCGCCCCCATAAATCTGCCGGGCCAGGCTGCTCCAAGAACTCATACAGTAGCAGCGTCAGATCCAACGCGCGCCTCCCCGGCCGGAGTCCATTTGCATAATTGGATTTTTTTTTTTTTTTTTTGGCCTCCTTCTTCCCTGAAACTTGTTTGAAAACCCAAATGAAAACTGCGACGACCTGCACACTCAAAAGCAAGTGCCAAGTAAGTGCCCTGTAGTGGCCTCCGCGCGCCCCGAGGTGAGGGCACAGAGCCCGGGGTGTGGGGTGGGGGCGAAGTGCCCAGCCCGGCTCAGGTGTGAACGTGCAGCGGGCAGGAGCACTGCATCTGTCGGGCTGGATGTTCATAGAACTTTTGCTTTAAAAAACAAAACAAAACAAAACAAAACTCCTACAACCGTCTCTCGACTTTTCTGGCGAGGTGAGGTGGTTGGGCCAAGAGTGTACTTGTGGCAAGAATGAAGAGGAAATCTTGAGGACACAGTTGAGAGTTGGGCATCCTGGTTCGCTGGGAGGGTGGCGGGTCCCTGTAGCCGCCGCCGTCGCCGCCGCCGCCCGCATGGAAAGCTGAGCTGCGAGTGAGCGGGGTTGGTTGCCAGACGTGCCGCACCGCGCTGCGTGGCGGATACAGTTTGTCTCCAAATGCCTCCCCTATTATTCTAAGGTTTGTGTCTCCGTGTGTGTCTGCGTGAGTGTGTGCGCGTGTGTGTTTTGCTGTGCTTTAAAAGGAAGAAAAGCAACCAAAACAAGAGCACGAAGGCTTCCTTTCTAATCTGCCTTCCCTTCAGCCTCCTCTGTTTCTGTTGCTGGAAGAGCAGAGAGCTGTTTTGCCTAAGATAGGGTCACCACCAACAGATTGACAATTCAGTTGGAAATGCTATAAATTCTACAGCAGAGATGCAGCTGTGAGCATGACATGCCGGCTCCACTCCGGTCAGGGAAATGGCTTGACAAGCTCAAATTGTTAAAAAATGTATAATCTATTATTATTAGTGGTAGTATTTACAGTGAGCAGGATGGAGGGGGAAGTGGATTGCTTTGGAGAAGACACCAGCTGTCCTTCCCATTTTCTGGCCTGCCTGGGAACTTGCTGTGGGCAAGGTGCACCACCCTGCATGGCAGGGCCCTGGGACTCAGCTTTCAGCTCTGGGAGTCACAGGGGGCGCGTCCTCCCTTAGCCCCTTGGCCTCTGCTCTGAGAGAGCCTAGGGCTTTGACTGAAGGCTGCTTTAGCTATGATGTCATCCTGATAGTGGTGCAAATGTCTCTTGATCCCACCATTACCCGCCTGGCTGAGTTGCTGGTAATGATAGCACTCTGCCCAGCTCCCTGACAATCACAGGACCCAGAGCCCTAGGAATTAACCACCCCCACCTGACCAACAAAGAGTCAGCTACCAAAAGCATGGCCGCTGAGCCCAGTTTTTGCATTGATGGGCCTAACATAGATACTAGCGACGTTGTCAGACTCCTAAACTGAGGGTCCTCTGATTTTCCAAAGTTTGGAAAACTTTTGGGAGGCTTTGATGTACAGAGAATCCTTAATCTGGGGACACTGGACTCTGATAGTGAATGGACAGCAATGTGTGGATGTGATGGATGATGAGGACCTCAGGTCTTGCTATAGCCATTGTATGGAAAAGGGGACTATAACATTCAGTTCATTAACTGTGACTTTGTGTTAATATAGCTGCAAGTAAACCGGATTTAGTGTTGATTTTAAAATAGTGTACAATGATTTAAGATTTCTTTTGATTTACTGTTCAAATGAAATTTACATAAATGTGATGAAAATGAACTTAACATCTGGGCACATGAAAAAAGGTTAGTGCCTCATATGTCATCTGCAGAGAAAGTCTTTAAAATGCTTTCACCCTAAACTGGGTTGAGGAAATAGTTCCTGAAGACATAAATGGTAATTACATAAAACCTGAAGAAAAACACTTTCAATACATTTGCATTCTCTTGGACCAGTGCTCTGAAAACTCATCTTGTTCTATGCCTGGAGTGTTTAACTTCTGAGCAGGCTTCAGATCCTTACAACTCAGCAATTTAACTGCTGGTCAGAGCTGTCTTCACGGAAGGCTTAGGGCAGGCATGGAACAACTGTCATGCTGGGCTGGTCCAAGCCAGAGGCCAATAGCCTCCATTATGGGAGAAGATAGGAACTGGTCAAGACATGTGGCCCTACCAGTCGTATCCGCCCCTGGGCACTGAAGGCTTGGATATACATTATTTGCAGAGCCCTCCAATCCAAAAGCTGACCCATTAGGTTGTCTCTTCCGCCGTAGGTAACCAAGAAAATTCCATCAGCTCAGACCTCAAGCCCTTTCTCATGAGCTCTAAACTCCATCTTACTTTTGGAGCGAGATGAGCTTGTCTCTGGCATCAGGAAATCAGTTAAACAGCCTTCCCCAAGCATGGCTGCCTTTTGCTCAAAAGTTGTCTATGAATGGCACAGGTGTTTTTAAAGTGCCTTGAATGGAAGGGGGAAAAAGAGAGCAATGATGCTTGTGAGAATATAGATGAATTTGTTTTTTTTTGTTTTTTTTGTTTTTAAAGAAGGGTAGCATAAAAGAAGAAAGCAAAATAGATTTATTTTTCCAGCTTCAATGAGGACAATTATAGCTTTTTAAGATCTTTGGATTTAGTGCTTTTAATAAGCCTTTTAAGTAAGCTGAAATATCAGCTTGCATTTTGTTCTTAACATTATTTAAAGTGAGACTCGATGCAAATTTAAATCGTAAGTGAGTTTCCAGTAGGTCACTTTGGGGCCATGCTGAGGACAGAAATGCTCTACCCCCAGCTCACCTGCTGGGACCTGAAGTCCTTGGGTACTGAGCCCAGCTTCATCATGTTTCCAGGTAAGGTCTTAGATAAGGTAGAAGGACATGTGCCCTTGGTATCCTGATGCCATTTCTCAGGATGTAGAGGCTGCAATTTGGAGTAAACACATACACACACACACACACACACACACACACACACACACACACACACACACTAATGAAGTCCTCACCTTGGTAAAGTGTTCGAACTAGCACTTCTTGCTCTCCTTCTCTTCCTTCTGCCAACACCTGCCCTCTGCAGTGGTATAGCATGCCCCCTCCAGGGCTAGCTGCTGAAGCTATGGCTGCATCTGTAATAGGATGTGGGGATGGAGGGCTCTCTCCGGTTGGCTAGCCAGACTGCCAAGTACTGTAGGAAGTTTTGCAAGGAGAGGCTCTGCCAAGGCAATGAATTGGTTTTCATGTCTTGAAGCTTTGGCCTGCTGTCATGTTCCCCTTGGTTGCTCTGTGCATCCATAGAATGGTATGGCAATAATGTGTGGGGTCAGAAAGAACTAAGCTAGGAAGTGACTTTTGATCATTATAACTGGGGTCTCACTTGCGGTAATGGTAGGTGTGTATGTGGTATGTGTATGGTCTATATTCATTTATGCACACACACGTGCAGGGGTGGGTGTGGGGAGATTTGCCTGCTAGAAGCACCTGCTCTGAGATGATTTCCTTTTCACCACCATTTCAGTGTGTAAGAGAGAAGAGTGAGTTTGTACCTGTGTATGTCAAGTGGACAGATCACTTATAGAAAGAATCAGAAAGTACAAGCATTTTTCCTTAGGATGTGGACCCTGAGCGATACTGTCCTCACATCCTACTTTATTTTGTGTTTTCTAAATGCAGGCAGACATAGATGAAAACTACCAGGAGGGCCTGGAGTAGGGCCTCCTCAGGCCAGTCTGTGGCACCCATCTGCTTCTGTCGATTGTCTGCCCTGAGATGCACAGTGAAGAGAGGGAACTGGCTCTGTGGACTGTTGGAGGCACTCTCCAGATTTCACTTTCAAAAATTGTTGTGGTCTTTGGTCTTCCTCTTATATATGAGCTACTTTAAAGAGCCTCCACAGTATGCAGCTTTCCACACATGCTAGGCTTGCTGGAGATGCCCTAGAAATGGAGTCTCTCTGCATTGAGCAGATTTCTATCAGGATGAGGCCTTGAGAAGAACCCACTGGAGGAACCTGGGCACCTTTTCTGCTGACCAGGATCTCTCAAAGTTGGTACTAGGTACATTTTCTACTTGTGGGTGTTTGTCATGAGGGATGTTGAGTAGCATGCGAACCTCAACCCACTAGATGCCAATAGCTCTCTTGATTATGACCATCAGGAATGTCTAGACATTTTCATATATTCCCCAGGAAGGGGATTCAAGCTCATGCTCTGAATTGTGCAAGTGTGAGGCTATGTTCTGGACCTCCCAAAGGGGGACACGGAGATCACTTTTGACCTTACTTCCAGAAAGTATACAGGCAATATACAGATTGGTTTCTATGTGCCCCTTAGGCCGTGCACAAGATGAGGGCAGCTTTGGAATCTGGGAGGAGGAAGGTTTTCCTTTTCTTTTTCTTTTTCTTCATTGTGTAAGAATACACGGAAGAATAAAAGGCTGTCCAGTGCAAGATGTGGTGCTCAATTCCAATGTTTCTGAATACCAGTTATACCTTTAAAAAGGCCCTGTGGATGAGAGCTGTGTTCCTGGACCACATGGAATCCAGGCAACAGAAAGTGACACTGCTCAGGCACTGTGATGGGGCTGGGCACCCTGTCGGCAGGATAATGCCAGTCGTTTGTTTTTGAGTTCTTACTACATACTTCCCTAGGAGGGCAGGTTCTATATTTATTCAGAGTTTCACTAAGGGAAACCGAGGCAATGAGTAGGGGAGGTGGATAGCTCCTTTCGCTGTGCTCCTACTTAACTCTAGGGTTGTGAGGCATATCCCTGTCCCATATTCAGCTGTCCCTCCTACACCAGGAGCTGTCAAAAGAAGGCAGGAAGGTCACAGGCACCATAGCAAGCCCTGTCCACGAAGTGCAGGCTCCCACAGGTGGGTGGGGCAGAAAGCTATGCAGATGCTTCCTGGGCAGTGAGACAGGGAAGCCTGCAACCCAGTGTCCAAGCCTCTCTGCTTATTCCTAGCTTCAGTATATGGCTTTCCGATGAGAAAATTAAATGCTGTTTTGACACAGGAAAAATGACTACCATAGGCCTGAGCTGACATTAACCTGAGAGCTTTCTACCAAGGCCCTGATGCTTTGGTTACCTGGGGTGGAGGTGAACTTGTCCTCTGCATTCTATTCCTACTCTTCTCTCTCCCCATGATGGCTCCTCCACCAAGATGATGGTCTGCCAGCTCAGAAATAGATAGAG